GTGATGTGGGTGTGTCTGGCAGATGTGATGTTGATGTGTCTGACAGGTGTGATGTAGCTGTGTCTAACAGATCTGAGATTGCTGTGTCTAACAGATGTAATGTTCCTCTGACTGACAGATGTGATGTTGCTGCGTCTGACAGATGTGACGTGGGTGTGTCTGACAGATGTAATCTTGCTGTGATTAACAGATGTGAGGGTGCTGTGTCTGACAGATGTAGTGTTGTTGCGTGTAAGAGATATTAGGGTGTTGTTTCTGACAGATGTGATGTTGCTGTGTCAGACAGATGTGATGTTGCTGTGTCCGACAGATGTGATGTTGGTGTCTGACAGATGTGATGTTGCTGTGTTTGACAGATGTAATGTGGCTGTGCCTAACAGATGTGAGCCTGCTGTGTCTGACAGTTGTAATGGTCCTGTGTCTGACAGATGTAATTTTGCTCTGTCTGACAGATGTGATGAGGGTGTTACTGACAGATGTAATGTTGCTGTGTCTAACAGATGTGAGGGTGCCTTGTCTGACAGATGTGATGTTGCTGTGTCTAACAGATGTAGTGTTGCTGTGTCTAATAGATGTGAGGGTGTTGTTTCTGACAGATGTGATGTTACTGTGTCTGACAGATTAGATGTTGCTGTCTGACAGATGTGATGTTGCTGTGTTTGAGATATGTAATGTTGCTCAGCCTAACAGATGTGAGGCTGCTGTGTCTGACAGTTGTAATGGTCCTGTGTCTGACAGATGTCATGTGGGTGTGTCTGACAGTTGTAATGTTCCTTTGTCTAACAGATGTGAGGGTGCTGTGTCTGAAAGACGTGATGTTGCTGTGTTTGACATGTGATGTTGCTGTGTCTGACAGATGTGATGTTGCTGTGTCTGACAAATGCTATGTTGCTGTGTCTGACAGATGCGATGTTACTGTGTCTGACAGATGTGATGTGAGTGTGTCTGACAGATGCGATGTGGCTGTGTTTGACAGATGTGACGTTGCTGTGTCTGACAGATGTGATGTTGCTGTGTGTGACAAAAGTGATGTTGCTGTGTCTCACACATGTGAAGTTGCTGTGTCTGACATATGTGAAATTGTTGTGTGTTGTTATGCAGGGTTCTGCATGACATCGTAATGTACATATAGTGGAGAAGTGTGCCATAATAATATGAATATTATAGTTGTAAGGAATAATTTTATAATTGATAATGTGCATTTGGGGGTACTGTAAAGTACTCTAACTGTAATTATAAAGAAATTCTGTTAATGATTTATTTTCCAAGGATGTTTGGGTACGCGGAGTAAGCGTGGTTTGGGGGGGTCACGTGACGTTAGCATGGGGTGTAGAGGCTGGCGTCGGAGATGCTGTGTATTTAAGATAAGTTTGTAGTTGTGCACTCATTTTGTTTATCCAACTCAAGCCATAGGCTCTCATATGGCTTACCTGTATGTTCACCCAGGCTCTGACATGGTCAGGGTGCTGTGGGATGAGTGAGGAAGTAAGAAATGAGGTTTGTAGTGTAATGACGGCCTGACGCTGACGAAGCCTAGTGGTTATGGTGGCTGAACCTCCAGCCAGCTGTTGTGTGTACCCTCATTTGGGCGTTTAGGATTCAGGTTTTTATGTTATGTTATGTTATGGTGATTAAATAGATATATTTTCTTAATTGGGATTTTTGCCTAACCCTCTGTTACCCAACCCCTTGAAGTACACATACCAATTTAGTGCTTTCTGTTTTGACTGGGATAGCCCTGGGTGGCCGGTTTGGGCTTGAGATGTGTGTAACTTTTACCTTTGCCCTTAGACCAGGCTCAAGCCCCCAGCTATCCCACATGTTTGCGTAACATGTGTCTACACAGATGTTATGTTGCTGTATCTCACAGATGTGATGTCGGTGTGGCTGACAGATGTGAAGATGCTTTGTCTGACATGCTATGTTGTTGCGTCTGACAGATGTGATGTTGCTGTGCCTGACAGAAGTCATGTCGCTGTCTCCGACAAATCTGATGTTGCTGTCTGACAGATGCTATGTTGCTGTGTCTGACAGATGTGATATTGCTGTGTCTGATATGTGATGTTCTTGCGTCGGACAGATGTGATGTTGCTATGTCTGACAGATGCTATGTTGCTGTGTCTAACAGATGTGATGTTGCTGTGCCTGACAGATGTGATGTTCCTGTGTTTGGAACATGTGATGTTGCTGTGCCTGACAGGAGTGATGTGGGTGTGCACATACCATGCCACCAACACTCGTGCACACATACCATGCCACCAACACTCGTGCACACATACAATGCCACCAACACTCGTGCACATATACCATGCCACGAATACTCGTGCACACATACCATGCCACGAACACTCGTGCACACATACCATGCTACGAACACTCGTGCACACATACCATGCCACCAACACTCGTGCACACAGACGTGTAACCATATGGTGGTTAAAGTTAAATATTGTAGGAGAAGCAATGTAATGGAAATAAGGAAATATTTATGTGCTTCTATATTTAAAATATGTTGGTTCAGATGACCATAGTCACATATATTTGCCAAGTTTGAATTATTCTCTTTGATCAGCAGCACCGCTGTTTTCCCTACACTATAACTGATACATGTCACCCACAGTGGATATGCAGATATAGCCTTAGGGATAGGTAGTGATCCTATCAGGATGATTAGCTGGATTACTGGGGTTACTGGAAGCTAAGAATAAACGTTCTCCCTCACCACGGCACCCAGCCAGAGCGAGGCTCCTCTTGATGATGCTGCAGACTTCGTTGTGTCTTGCATGCGAATCCTTGAGTTGAGACAGTTTAGAATATGAAGATCATACTGGACATACTGGTGCAGTGGCAGAGAGCCACTGCTATGTGGAGGGTTTGTGGGTCGAGATATGTGCCTATTGCTAAAACAGTATCTGTTAAGATATGTCTCCTGAGCAGTGTGCGCTCATAGCTTTCAGATTAGCAATTTCCATTGTGCACGATGTGGCAGTAAGTTTTTTTATATACCATTTTGCGTTGGGGCAGAACCAGCTAGACTGATTGTAGACGAACATTACAGCTGGTTAAGGCGATGAAACAGTAAGAATCTATTAATAATTAAACTGTAATACAACACTGATAGCAACACTGAAACGAACTAACCAAGTTGTGGGAGTGGCTGCCTTTTTTTTTTTTTTTTTTTTTTTTTTTTTAGATCGAGATGGACGGTTTTATTTTCCGAGAGTTAATGATATTTGATGTGTGTTGCGGATAACGCTATAGATATTGAAACTGTATAGCGGAGGTAAGTGCAGATGAGAGAAAGGAATCCTGGAAGACGTTCAGTGAATGTGTTGGAAACCTTAGTCATGAAAGATAATTGCTTGGTGAGACATGAATGTCAATATACACTGTTGTAGAAGGTGCAGTGAGAAAGTTTGCTGTGCTTGCTGTAAATAACAATGTGGAACTTTTAACTTACCTCACCAATACAACCAGCATATCAAGAACTGTAAAGTAATACACAAAACGGTAAAATAGCAAGGACGAACAGTTTAGTAATTTATAGAAAGTATAGTAACTTAAAAGAAACATGAAAGAACAACATAGTGACACATAAAACTGTGTAGTGACACATAAAACATGTATCATGCATGCTAATGTTTTAGAATTTTTGAAGTTTCCAAAACTATCTTCAATGTAGACATCGTCGGTGGCTAAGATCTTGTCGGGTGAGGACGAATTGTGCCTAAATATATTACATGGACATAATGTGATTACTGTAGAAATATATACAGTAAACAGTGGAATATGAGGTAATCATTCCCTCAGGAGCAACTTTGTACTGATGAAGCCACTGGATGGCGATACCTCTACAGTTAAATGTACCCAGAAATTGCACATGTGTTTAATTCAACATTAAATGTTCACTATAATGAATGAAAACATATAAGAACAACATTATTGTTCACTATAATTAATGGGCACATACACGAACAATGTTAATGTTCACTCTGATGAATAAACATTAAGGAACAACATTAATGTTCACTCGGATGAATAAACATTAAGGAACAACATTAATGTTCACTGTGATGAGTGAACATAACCAAGTAATGGTCAGTGTTGTGAATGAACACTGACATCAACAACACTGGTGTTCTGAATTATAGTAATGTTAATTATAATGAGTCAAGAGAAACTGTAAAGACGGATAAGTTGCCTTCTGGTTGCTTAAAATAGCTGCATTTACAAGAGTTGATTCAAAGCTCCTGGACTAATTTCATAACTTTTTTTTTACAGGTTTTCCTAGATTCTGGTTTTTAGGGACTGATCGTGTCTGATCTTAAACTTGTGTACAGTATTTACCTCCATCACTTACCACTTACCAACCTAAGACTGAAAAATAGTTTACCTCACGCTTCATTAATATCATTACAAGTAAATTAGTTGTGGTACACACTACTTCCTCATTTCCCACATCATAATTATTTTTCAAGAACAATAGTTGTATTCTGTACTACTTGATCGATCATATTCACTGATTCCTCTTTTAAGCAAACTGCAGCAATATGTAAGTGTGATAACTGTAACATATAACTGTAAAATATATCCCCCCTTCTGATTTAAGTCTGTGGCATAAATTATAGTGTGTGACCACTGTCAGCTTCAGAATAAGCTCTGATCTACCAAACCTTGCCACTTGGAGGTCAGTCTAGTCATTATAAAGGGTTCACTCACCCTCCTAATTCATTAGGTATTCCAGAATAGGAGACTATAAGCGCCAGTCTAAAGTTTTCTTTTTCTTCCTTCAACTTTTTTTTATTTCCTGTTGCTGTATGTTACGCAGAAATGTGGGATAGCTGGGGGCTTGATCCTGGTCTAAGGGCAAAGGTAAAAGTTACACACATCTCAAGCCCAAACCGGCCACCCCGGGCTATCCCAGTTAAAAACAGAAAGCGCTAAACCAGTATGTGTTACTTCAAGGGGTTGGTTAACAGAGGGTTAGGCAAAAATCCCAATTAGGAAAATATATCTATTTAATCACCATAACATAAAAACCTTAATTCTACACGCCCAAATGAAGGTACACACAGCTGGCTGGAGGTTCAGCCACCATTACACTAGGCTTCGTCAGCGTCAGGCCGTCATGACACCACAAACCTCATTTCTTACTTCATCACTCATCCCACAGCACCCTGACCATGTCAGTGCCTGGGTTAACATACAGGTAAGCCATATGAAAGCCTATGGCTTGAATTGGATAAACAAAATGAGTGTATTATTGCAAACTTAACTTAAAATATACAGCATCTCCGACGCCAGCTTCTACCGCCATCCTAACGTCACGTGACCTCCTCCCCCACGCTTACTCTGCGTACCCAAACATCCTTGGAAAATAAATCACTAACTCCATTCTTTATAATTATAGTTAGAGTACTTTACAGTACCTCCAAAAGCACATTATGAATTATAAAATTATTCCTTACAACTACAATATTCATATTATTATGGCACACTTCCCCACTAATATGTACATACGATGTCATGGAGAACCCTGCATAACACTGTACATGTGAGTAAAATTATATACATAAACTATAAAGCGAGAGCTTTAGCCACCAGGCCACGGGTATGATGAATCATTATTATAATCATGGGGGAGCGGTAAATCCATAGGATCATACTGAGCTGGGGAAGAGATGGAAGGTATTCAGGCTCATTTCAGGGAACCGGAGCACAGATCTAATTCCCTAGATCAAGAGCCCCTTACCAGCGTCAAGGAGCCTCCCTTGGGGGGGGATGATGAATGACTTTGTGACAAGGACCATATTATTATTATAATCAAAAAGAAGCGCTAAGCCACAAGGGCTATACAGCGCTGCAGGGTAGGGAAGGAAGCAAGGGAATTGGATGGCAGAAGGGAGGGGGGATGATCAGCAGGTTACAGAAAACAGCGGGGCAGGGGATAGTACGGGGGTAGAAGGTAGCAAGAGATTGAAGTAGAAAGGGCTGAAGGGATCAGAATTTGTGAAGTAAGTCAGTCGTTGTCAAAAAGTCAATGAGAGAGTCCGGATGAAAGGTGGGTCCATCAGCGAGAAGGGAAGGTAAAGAGAGAGCAGCGGAGCGAAGACGACGACAGAGGTAAATTCTGCGTGCTCGTTGATAAAGTGGGCAGTCCAACAGAATGTGGCTGACTGATAATGGAGCTTGGTAATTCTCACAGAGAGGAGCAAGACGCCTCTCCATGAGATATCCATGAGTAAGACGAGTATGGCCAATGCGAAGAGGGGAGAGAGTAGTCTCCCAACCTCGACACTGGTGATAAGAAGACGGCCAGTAACCTATACTCGGTTTAATAGACTGAAGTTTGTTGCCGAGCATAGTAGACCAACGTTGTTGCCAACGGGTGTGAAGGTGGGAAGATATTGCAGCAAAATAGTCCGTAAATGGAATACCTCTATAAGAAACTGGTAGGTCATGTACTGCTGACCGCGCAGCAGTGTCTGCCTGTTCATTGCCCTGTACGTCAACATGACCCGGGACCCAACAAAAAACAATATCTTTATGCTTGGTAAAGATGCGGCGTAGCCAAAGTTGGATACGGAGGACTAAGGGGTGAGGTGTATCAAATTTTTGTATAGCCTGTAAAGCACTAAGGGAGTCTGAGACAACCACAAATGATGACACAGGCATAGATGCAATACGGATAAGTGCTGTAAGGATGGCATATAATTCAGCAGTAAAAATACTAGCCGAAGTTAGTAAATGCCCTTGTACGACGCTGTCCGGAAACACTGCTGCACAAGGACCATAGAGGTTCTGGTTTACATCTATTTCAGCTGTGATATATCATCTGAAAAATGGGAGCTAATCAGGCTGTTTCCCACCTGGTATTTACACACAGTACTGTACCCTAGAATCCTGGCGAAGTACTGATGGAGGGCTTTTAACAGGCTCACTCACTTTGATCTGTGTCATGAGCTCAGCTCACTCAAATAAGGTATGAGCAGTAAATAGTATAAAACATAATCCTGCCTCACGCTCTGCATGATGGGAAAAGCAAAACTCGGATCTTGTGTTTGGTTTAAACAGCAACTTCGAGGTGTTTTCTAGGATGGTTTAACTGGCTGTTTCTTGGTATCACTTAATGCCAAGAAACAGCTGTACTATTTAAATAGAGATAATTCTAGTTGGCTCCAGGACTGGAAGTACATGGCTTGAAATCAGTCAAGGTAGCAGAAATATTTGAGCTTTACAGATGTTCCTGAGGATGGGTAAGGCTTCCCTATACCCCTCTGGTCTATTTTGCGGGTTTTTAATCAGCCTGATTCAATTATTGGGATGCCATAAACCATGGCGAATCATTGCTGGTTATAGAATTTTATTATCCAAGAAAGTTAGGTTAGGTAAGGTTTGTCTGGAAGCAGGACGTTTCCTGATGCATGACTTAGCCAGATGATGAACTAAAGTAAATCTTCAATATTTTGTGCAACGAATTCATAATGGAAGGCAAGTGTAACATAGGAGATATGATTAATGAACAGAGCAAATGTTTATGGAAAGCAAGTGTAACGTAGGATATGATTACTGAACAAAGCAAATGTTTATGGAAGGGAGGTGTAACGTAGATATGATTAATGAACAGAGCAAATGTAGGAGAGGTCTGAGGATATGACTAGTGAACAGAGGAAATGTTTGTGCCTGGAATGTCTAGTGTTTATTTTGGACTTTTTTTTTTTTTTTTTTTTTTTTACATAAAACTCCTAAAATTACTGATTCTGTTCAATTTATAGGGTAGTTTTGATAGCTGAATGGGCAGTTTCTTGTCCTCAATCGATAGGACAAAAAGCAGTCTAGCGAAACATCTAAAAATTTGGTAGAATTGGTTTAAAATAAAGCTCAAAGTCGGCGAATTCGCCAATGCGTAAGTAACGCCCAGACCGCTAATTTTGTGCCTCCATAATTCTATAAGGTCTCAATTAAATTTCGTTTTTTGTCATTATCTTCAGAAAAAGATTCTTTACCATTTCAGAAGTTTTTTTTTTTTTCAACAAGTCGGCCGTCTCCCACCGAGGCAGAAGTTATTTATTTTAAATGTGGACAGTGAGATCTTTTAATTTCAGTCTGTAAAGTAATATAGTCAATCCAAGGAATTGGAGCTACCCTCTTCTTCCTTGGATCATACAGTAAAAGTTGTTGTTGTATAAGTTGACTTTATCTGAGGAAAATATTTATTATATTCATGGTGAAAGTTAACCCATAGGAGTCAGGAAAATTGATGTTAATATTGTTGATCTGGGAAACCAGAGCTACTCTCAACTTACCTGGATTGATCCAGGGAAGTTGAGAGTAGCTCTGGTTTCCCAGATCAACAATATTAACATTAATTTTCCTGGTGTAAGGGAAATAAAGTGTAGGTCTTAGTTTACCTCTTTCTTCTTTGTCTTCAACACCAACTCTCCCTTACAATAATATATATAACAGTACTATAAGGCTTCTTCACTATGAAATAGATACATCTCAGTCCCACTGCTCAGTCACTTTATTAATACTTAATTCCACAAGAACTTTTATTAAAATTTTGAAGTTTATTAATCAAATATGCGAAATGTATACTACGTATGAAATTATTGGTACAGATGAAACATGGCATGTCAGCCAATTTCCTTAAAACTGTGTGTGGGGGGGGGGGACTTGTAGTGCATTACTGTTGAATTTACTTTTTTTTATGAACAAAATGTAATTAGCTATGTTCTACACAGCCATGACTGCACATGCAAAGAAAACAATTTGTGGTTATTATTAAATTTTGTCCAAGCTTAGATTTAGAAGCCATATTTTTAAAATACAGTATTGTTCTAACCTGATTAATATTCATATATGTCCAGAAAAAAAAATTGGGGCAGGAGAGATCCAGGTAACATATTTTGAATGGAATAATATTTTAAATGTCAATTTTGCTTTGAATGTATTTACAAGCATTTTTCCAATAGTGTTATTTATTTTCATCCACAGCAGCAAGCTTACACAACAAGTGCAGATATCTCTAGGTTTGGAGGTATCTATGTCAACAACTGTGTGCCTTGTCTGCCTTCAAACACCTTGTGAATAACCTCTTAATAATAGAGCATGTACTAGGATAACCTCTCAATAGAGCATGCACTAGGATAACCTCTCAACAATAGACCATGTACTAGGATAATCTCTCAATGAGAAAGCATGTACTAGGATAACCTCTCAATGATACACCATGTACTAGGATAACCTCTCAATAACCTCTCAGGAACGTTTCGCCCCTCCATGCAGAAACGTTTCGGCCTTCCATGGAGGAACGTTTCGCCCCTCCATGGAAAAACGTTTCGCCCTTCCATGGAGGAACGATAGAGCATGTACTAGAATAACCTCTCAATAATAGACCATGTACTAGGATAACCTCTCAATAATAGAGCATGTACTAGTATAACCTCTCAATGATAGAACATGTACTAGGATAACCTCTCAATGATAGAACATGTACTAGGTAGAACTTTCAATATCAAACACCTTAGCAAATGTAATGAATAGAGTCCAAATAATAAAGGTGAGAAATTCTCTAACTGGGTCACAATAGGTGTTTAGTGACTTCAAAAGTAAAGGAAAATGGTATTTATTATAAATGCTTACTGTATACCATTCTACATGGCTCTCTTGTAATTCAGATACTTGTACTAGCAGTGAAAGGGAAAACCAAGACAATAATCAAACAACAGTTACACGAAACATGTGTGGGGTTGCCCCATTGTTTTTGTACCTTAAAACTGGCAAGAACTGAAGCAGTGCAACCAGATTGGATGTTTTTTACCCAAATTCACATGATTAACCACAGTTCCTAAAAAAATATTAAAAATCATAAGGGTCACAGTGATAACCAAATAAGAAATACAAGTTAAATTAACCCACTGATGTAGTTCTTGCTGTAGCAGTAGTGAGTGAGCAGTTAACACTACCTACAACATTATTATTGTAAACAAGGGAATAAAATATGTGTTCATTACAACTTTATAAATGTCTTCCTCTAACACCATATCTCCTTTTATTTTGAGAGATACCAAAAATAAGTGAATACCACTCTTTCAAAATCAAAGGGATACCTCTCAAAATCAAATATATATCACTTTCAAATTCAGATGGATATCTCTCAAAATTATATGCAAGCACAAATATTTGAGTGAATTTACACAGGGGATAAATAAAAACAATTATGTTTCAGTAGAGTTTGTCTAGAACAAGTTTTCCTTCAATGGTGAGTGCAACAATCAGGTGGCGGACACACGACCACACTATTGTGTATGACACTCGTATATATTATTAGTGGTGGTTTAGAATTTGTCCTCCAGGTATTGGTTCGGCAGGTGGTCGTCGTGGCAATGGCTCGACAGATGACGTCGTGGCAGTGGCTCGACAGGTGGTCGTCGTGGCAATGCCTCGACAGGTGGCCGTCGTGGCAGTACTACCACTCGCCTTCACCAGTCGCCTTCCTGAAAAAATATTCCTTGCCCTTGCGGGTCATTAAACCATCCTTCAGTGATAACTTAAATGTGTTCCTCACACGAGTGATCTGAAAAATGACAAGAGAAAAATGGCATAAGGAGATGTAGGTACCGACACTGTTGTGTCTGTACCATCGATGTACTTAAGTAGTGTTTTAAGCACTGTACTTATTATATTAGACAATGTAGTGCACTTTTTAAAGTAGTGTACTGATACTTACCTTGACGTATTGACAAACAACAACATTGTCAGTATTGAATGAATCCGTCTCGTCGTCCGTTAAGTCATCATTGCTGTTAAGTTGTTCCTGCAACACAATACAACACTGTAGTGTTGGCGGTAACACAATGCAATACTGTAGTGTTGTCGGCAACACAATACAATGTAGTGTTGGGGACAACACAACACTGCAGCACTGGCTGCAACACTATACTACACTGTAGTCTTGGTTGCAATAACACTGTAGTGTTGGTTAGAGCACAATGCTACACTGTAGTCTTGGTTGCAACAATACCACACTGTAGTGCTGGTTACAGCACAGTACTACACTGCAGTCTTGGTTGCAAAACAATACTACATTGTAGTGTTGGTTGCTACACAATACTACACTACTGTTGGTTGCAACACAATACCACACTGTAGTGTTGCCTTCAACACAATACTACACTGTAGTGTTGGTTACAACACAATACTACACTGTAGTGTTGACTGCAACACTACTACAATGTAGTGTTGGCTGCAACACTATTACACTGTAGTGTTGGCTGCAACACTATATTACAATGTAGTGTTGGCCGCAACACTATATTACAATGTAGTGTTGGCTGCAACACTATATTACAATGTGGTGTTGGCTGCAATACTATATTACAATGTAGTGCTGGCTGCAACACTATATTACAACATAGTGTTGGTTGCAACACTATACTACACTGTAGGGTTGGCTGCAACACTACTACACTAGCGTTGGCTGCAGCATTATACTACACTGTAAAGATTGGCTGCAACACTATAATACACTGTAGTGGTGGCTGCAACATTATGCTTTATTGCAGTATTGGCTGCAGCAATATCATCAATCACACAATAGGGGTTCCTGCACCACAATAGGGGATCCTGCACCACAATAGGGGATCCTGCAACACAATACTTCACAGTCACTACATTTGTTACATTACCTTCAAAACACATCCTCTATTATTCTAGGTACATAACTGGGTCCCAGTGTTCCACAAGGTACATTACTGGGTCCCAGTGTTCCACAAGGTACATTACTGGGTCCCAGTGTTCCACAAGGTACATTACTGGGTCCCAGTGTTCCACAAGGTACATTACTGGGTCCCAGTGTTCCACAAGGTACATTACTGGGTCCCAGTGTTCCACAAGATGCAGTACTGGGTCCCAGTGTTCCACAAGGTACATTACTTTGTCCAAGTGTTCCATAAGGTACATTGTTGGGTCCCAGTGTTCCACAAGGTACATTACTGGGTCCCATTGTTAGAAAAGATACAGTACTGCCTCCCAGTGTTCCACAAGGAACATTACTGGGTCCCAGTGTTCCACAAGGTACATTACTGGGTCCCGGTGTTCCACAAGATACAGTAGTGGCTTCCAGTGCTCCACAAGGAATATTACTGCCAGTGTTCCACAAGGTACATTACTAGCTCCCAGTGTTCGACAAGGTACATTACTGGCTATTAGTGTTCAACAATGTATAGCATTGGCTCCCAGTGTTCCACAAGATACAGTACTGGCTCCCAGTGTTCCACAAGGTACATTACTGGCTCAAAGTGTTCCAGAAGATACATTACTGGCTCCCTACGTTCCACAAGGGGGCCAGTAATGTATCTTCCAGTACTGCCGCCCAGTGTTTCACAAGGTACAGTACTGACGCCCAGGGTTCCACAAGGTACAGTACTGCTTCCAAGTGTTCCACGCGGTACATTACTCCCTCCCAGTGTTCCACAAGGTACATTACTGACTCCCAGTGTTCCAGAAGGTACAGTACTACCTACTAGTGTTCCACAAGGTACAATACTGGCTCACAGTGTTCCAGAAGGTGCAGTATTGGCTCTGTGTGTTCCACTAGCTACGGTACTGCCTCCTAGTGTTCCATAATGTACATTACTGGCTGCCAGTGTTCCAGAAGGTATAGTACGGTCTCCGAAGTGATCCAGAAGGTACATTACTGGCTCGCAGTGCTCCACAAGGTACAGTACTGGCTCCCAGTGTTCCAGAATTTACATTACTGCCACCCAGTATTCCACAAGGTACAGTACTGGGTCCCAGTGTTCCACACATTACTGGGTCCCAGTGTTTCCACACATTACTGGGTTCCAGTGTTCCACACATTACTGGGTCCCAGTGTTTCAAAAGGTACAGTACCGGCTCCTAGCGTTCCACAATTTACATTACTGGTACTCAGTATTCCACAAGGTACATTACTGGGTCCCAGTGTTCCACAAGGTACATTACTGGGTCAGAGAGTTCCACACGGTTCAGTAGAGGCATCCATTGTTCAACAAGTTACATTACTGGCTTCCAGTATTCCACAAGGTGCATTACTGGGTCCCAATGTTCCACAAGGTACAGTACTGTTCCCAGAGTTCTACAAGGTACAGTACTCACTCCTAGTGTTCCACAAGGTGCAGTAATGTTTCCAATGCTCCACAAGGAACAGTACTGCTCCCAGTGTTCCACAAAGAACAGTAATCACTCCCAGTGTTCCACACGGTACAGTACGGTTCCCAGTGTTCCACAAGGTGTAGTACTGTTTCCAGTGTTCCACAAGGTAAACTGCTGGCTCCCAATCTTCCAAAAGGTACAGAAATGTTTCCGGTTGTTCCACAAGGTACAGTACAGTTCTCAGTGTTCCCCAAGATACAGAACTGGCTCCCAGTGTTCCAAAAGGTACATAACTGGCTCCCAGTGTTCCAAAAAATACAGTACTGTTCCCAGTTCCAAAAAGAACAGCAGTAAGTCCAAGTGCTCCACAAGGTACAGTACTCTTCCTAGAATTCCACAAGGCACAGTACTCACACCCAGTGTTTCACAAGGTACGGTACTGTTCCCAGTGTTTCACAAAGAACAGTAATCACTCTCAGCTTTCCACAAAGTACAGTACTGTTGCCAGTGTTCCACAAAGAACAGTCAATCCCAGAGGTCCACAAGGTACAGTACTGTTATCAGTGTTTCTCAAGGAACAGCAGTCAGTCTCAGTGTTCCATATAGTACAGTACTGTACCCAGTGTTCCACAAAGAACAGAAGTCACTCCCTGTCTTCCACAAGGGGCAGTACTGTTCCCAGTGTTCCACAAAGAACAGTAGTCACTCTCACTGTTCCACAAGGTACAGTACTTTTGCCATTGCTGCACAAGGTACAGTGCTGTTCCCAGTGTATAATCCTCCGGGTTTAGCGCTTCCCCCTTGATTATAATAATAATAATGTTCCCAGTGTTCTACAAGGAACAGTGCTGTTCCCAACGTTTCACAAGGTACAGTACTCACTCGAGGTATTCCACAAAGAAAGGTAGTCAGTCCTAGTGTTCCACAAGGCACAGTACTGGTCCCAATGTTCCACAAAGAACAGTACTAGCTCCCAGTGTTCCACAAGGTACACTACTAGCTCCCAGTGTTTCACAAAGTACAGTACTGCTCATAATAATCAACAAGGAACAGTACTGGCTCCCAATGTCCCACAAGGTACAGTATAGGCTTCCAGTGTTCCACAAGGATATGTACTGTTCCCAGTGTTCCACAACGTACAGTACTATTCCCAATGTTCCACGAAAAACAATAGTCTCTCCCAGTGTTCTACAACGTTCCGTACTGCACCCAGTGTTCCACAAAGAACAGTAGTCTCTTCCAGTATTCCACAAGGTACACTACTCGCACCCAGTGTTCCACAAGGTACAGTACTGTTTCCAGCGTTCGACGAAGAACACAAGGTACAGTACTCGCTCCTAGTGTTCCACAAGGTATTACCTGGAGTTTACCTGGAGAGAGTTCCGGGGGTCAACGCCCCCGCGGCCTGGTCTGTGACCAGGCCTCCTGGTGGATCAGAGCCTGATCAACCAGGCTGTTGCTGCTGGCTGCACGCAAACCAACGTACGAGCCACAGCCCGGCTGATCAGGAACTGACTTCAGGTGCTTGTCCAGTGCCAGCTTGAAGACTGCCAGGGGTCTGTTGGTAATCCCCCTTATGTGTGCTGGGAGGCAGTTGAACAGTCTCGGGCCCCTGACACTTATTGTATGGTCTCTTAACGTGCTACTGACACCCCTGCTTTTCATTGGGGGGATGGTGCATCGTCTGCCAAGTCTTTTGCTTTCGTAGTGAGTGATTTTCGTGTGCAAGTTCGGTACTAGTCCCTCTAGGATTTTCCAGGTGTATATAATCATGTATCTCTCCCTCCTGCGTTCCAGGGAATACAGGTTTAGGAACCTCAAGCGCTCCCAGTAATTGAGGTGTTTTATCTCCGTTATGCGCGCCGTGAAAGTTCTCTGTACATTTTCTAGGTCGGCAATTTCACCTGCCTTGAAAGGTGCTGTTAGTGTGCAGCAATATTCCAGCCTAGATAGAACAAGTGACCTGAAGAGTGTCATCATATGCTTGGCCTCCCTAGTTTTGAAGGTTCTCATTATCCATCCTGTCATTTTTCTAGCAGATGCGATTGATACAATGTTATGGTCCTTGAAGGTGAGATCCTCCGACATGATCACTCCCAGGTCTTTGACGTTGGTGTTTCGCTCTATTTTATGGCCAGAATTTGTTTTGTACTCTGATGAAGATTTAATTTCCTCATGTTTACCATATCTGAGTAATTGAAATTTCTCATCATTGAACTTCATATTGTTTTCTGCAGCCCACTGAAAGATTTGGTTGATGTCCGCCTGGAGCCTTGCAGTGTCTGCAATGGAAGACACTGTCATGCAGATTCGGGTGTCATCTGCAAAGGAAGACACGGTGCTGTGGCTGACATCCTTGTCTATGTCGGATATGAGGATGAGGAACAAGATGGGAGCGAGTACTGTGCCTTGTGGAACAGAGCTTTTCACCGTAGCTGCCTCGGACTTTACTTTGTTGACGACTACTCTCTGTGTTCTGTTAGTGAGGAAATTATAGATCCATCGGCCGACTTTTCCTGTTATTCCTTTAGCACGCATTTTGTGCGCTATTACGCCATGGTCACACTTGTCGAAGGCTTTTGCAAAGTCTGTATATATTACATCTGCATTCTTTTTGTCTTTCAGTGCATTTAGGACCTTGTCGTAGTGATCCAATAGTTGAGACAGACAGGAGCGACCTGT